ATCCCTCTCTCTCTCCTAATTTTTTTTTTATTAATCTTAGGCTGAGTAACTTGTTGTTAACTGTAACCGGGGAAGGAGAGGAGGTAAACATGTTAGCTCGACAGCGAAGTCCGTTTAATTTAATAACTCCGCCTATCGTCGCGAATATATCACAACCACAGACAGTGTAAAGGGGAAAAAAATGGTAAAAAAAAGGGTAAAAAATGGTTAAAAAAAAGAAACGTCAAAGAACAACGAGATTTTACGATGATGGGTACGCTTTTTTCTTAATGAAGTTTTTGTCAACGTTAAAACTTACGCCTACAGTTTTTTTGCGCGGTTGTTGAGTGCCAAGTGTAATTATTTTTCAATCAGGATTAATTTCACTAGTTCCCTCTTACTTTTTTTGTTGCTGGAGTTTTGTACTTTTTGTTTTTAATTTTTTGCTTCCTTAAACACTCTTTCGATACTAAGGTACTTATTTACATGTCACTCATTATTTAATTCGATATTCATTAGAATATTTTTTTTCATCAAGTAAATTTTAAAGCGAAGTAATTTTTGTGTTGAAAAATACGTTTAATTAGCAGAACGCAGCTTTTTAGACTATTAAAATTTTTTTTCCCTTTTCATAGTTAAAGTAGTAATAGATATTTAATAACACATTTGGTAAAATTAGTTAATTAATTAAATTATAATTTCAAGTTTTTTCTTTTGATTGCTAGTGTATTTTATTTAATAAACGAAATGATAAATGAAGTAATTTCCTTCTTAACTAGTACTCATTTACTTATTTAATTAGATATGTGTATTTTTGTAGAGACACTAGCATGTGTTTTTATGTTGACGTTATTTCCTTCGTATGATGTTTAATAACCTAGTTTTTAAATTGTTTATTTATATTCTATTTCTTTGTGTTTCAACGCAAAAAACAAACATTTCACTGTGTTAGATGTATATGATGACTAAAATTTGACCAACCGGATTTTCGCATTTTATAAATGTTCAAAACACGAAAAGTAAGATGGTGACGAATTATTGCCCACCATCCTTTAGTCCGCGCGCCACTTGTAGAATCATTAGATTTTTTTTTGAAGCACGAGACATGAATAAGAATAATTTGTCACCACGTGGATCTAGTAAATCGACTCTTATGCCTCTCCCAAGACGTCCTTTAAATAGGAGACAGTGTAAGAAGGAATTTTCAATTCCCCTGTGCGTCTTTTCAATGTGTGAGTGGTAGCACACCCACTTAGCAATTGGAGAAACCCTGGTTCGAGTTCCGGCGAAAAAAATAATGTCTTTAGAATATTTTCGAAGTTTATGTAAGCAAATCTTAAATTTACCTAGCTATGTCCTTATATATGATATATATATATTTAGAAGAGTTACCTATTGTTTTCCAACTTTGCAATAGTATTTCATCATTATTTGATAATTTAAATAAATTGGTAAGGATTGACATGGCAAGGATCATTGAATAACTTAAATTTATAAGGATTTGTATTTCTGTTAACCATTCCACGAAGAGTTCTGCACAAAAGCGCATTTGCTAAGGGAAAAAAATGTAACATTATCTCAGTTTCATGTTGTTTGTTCTGCTCCAGAGGTCACATTTAATTGAATTACCTAACTCTACATTTATCGTCGAATTTTGGTGGCATGCCGGGAGCGCCAGTGAAAAAAACCATAAAACAAAAAGGACCAAATAAAGGGCCCTGCGAAAAATGTCACCACTCTAAGTGCAAAATGCCGCATCACCATTTTTGATGGATGACCAAACATCTTTCTTCTTTCTGGAGAAAATTCCTTTCCCGACACCTCCATCCTCCTCCTCTTTTTCATCCCCCTGCTGCCTAGAACGGAGTCTCCTGATTGGACAGGAGGACCCTGGGCTTAAGATAAAAGACACCATTAAGGGGCTTCTTTAGATGACGTCACAAAGTACTTTATTTATCTAAAGTGCTTTTTGCATATTACTTTTTAGAAGAGGCCATAATGTTTTTTGACATCCTCCTGTCTGCAAGTTCTAGTTACTGCATTTTCTTCCCAAAAGAAAACTTGAGAATACTCGCGAGGTTTGCATAGTTTTAAGTTAGTCATCTCTTCGTAATTCTTTTATTGAAATAGTATAAACGCTTTTTCATAGCGTGGCTATATTAATAAAAGACCATGCTGTAAGGAGTGACTAAAAATAAGATATGAAAGTCTATCTTTAAGAAGTATCCTGAAAATGAAATAGTTCTTAGAGATGTTTTCATCATATATGGATCAAATTCAAGAGCTCTGAAAGCAGAATTTTGTTTTTTACTTTTGGTTCTGACAGTCGAGCACTTGCTTATTAAACATTCGTTAGGAATTATGGTCGAATTCCTCTGTCATTTAACTGTCTAGCAACGAAAACGTTATCCCGGTTGAAACGCGAGGAAAAAGAATATAGCCCATATAAAAGCAAATGAGATGCATTTATAAAGGCGACATAAAGGATTCGGTATTTATTGCAATCTCTGTTCGATAAGACAGAAACTTTCTTAAGGCTGCCGGACATAAAAGTGTCAGTACCATCTTGCAGTATTGTTTCTAACTTTAAAAAAAGCAACCTTCATAAAGCTACCTTTATCACCGTTATACAAAAAGAATTTTCATTTGCTTTATTAATAACAGTAGCAACTCAGACTCTACTTGCATAGCTGATTATGTACTGAGTTTCATAAGTTATGACGTACTAATTTCCGTAAAGTTGCGATCCTCTTCATGTCGGGGTAGTTTTAATAGCTTAGTATGAGTGATGAGAATGAGTGCCGGCACCGATGAAGAACCGTTTGCGATGAACTGGTCTTCAGTGAAATTTTGCAGGGGAGTGTAACCATACCACTTTCTTCGGTTAACGTCAGTACCTCATAACTACCAAAGTTTGCAGGGCAACAGAAACACTCCCCGTGTAGATGTAAGTTCATTTTTCTCTGCATAAGGTATATTCTCCCGCCTTCTTAGCATGCCTTCGTGGTATAACGGTAGCATACTCGGCACGTATTCGAGAGGTCTGTGGTTTGAGTCCAGGCGAGGGCATTACTCATTTTTCATCTCTCCTGCTTCGAAATAACCTAATGACTCTACAGTGGCGCCCGAACTAAAAGATGGATGAGGATTCTCCACCACCAGGATTTGGCAATTGGTCCCCTAATCCCGAGTCGCCCTTTAAAAGAGGGAGATTCTCCAGCCTTCTTAGCATGCCTTCGTGGTGTAGTGGTCAGCACACTCGGCACGTATTCGAGAGGTCCGTAATTCGAGTCCCGGCGAGGGCATTGCTCATTTTCTACGACCCATTTTCCACACAAGAACTAAAATAGATAGTGGATGATGATTCTTCACCACCAGGATTTGGTGATTAGGTCCCCTAATCCCTAGTCGCCTTTTAAAGGGGGGAGTATATTGTAGAGACGTTAGATTATTTTTTGGGAGCAGGAGAAGTGAAAAATGAACAACGTCTTCGCCGGGAATCGAACCACGGTCTTCTGGAATACGCGCCCAGCGTGCAAACCACGACACTACGAAGGCATGCTAAGAAAGCGGGAGAAATACCTTATAATGTAAGGAATTTCTCCCGCCTTCTTAGCATGCCTTCATCGTATAACGGTAGCGCATTCGGCTCGTATTCGAGAGGTCCGTGGTTCGAGTCCCGGCGAGGGCATTGTTCATTTTTCATCTCTCCTGCTTCGAAATAACCTAACGACTCTACACCTGTACCGGCGTTAGTTAAATTTGGCACATATTTAACGTTGCTCTTAATAGCTGTGAAACTCCATGAACCGTCAGCTACTAGTAATCGAAATATATTTCTATTTTTTTTCGAACTACATAAAGAAATCTTTTGAAAGTAGAGAAGCACACATTTACTGAAAATTAAGTATGCTCTGATTTCAATATCTCTTTTCTTCTCATACATGGAAAATTTAAGGTTCACACGTGTTCCATGGAATTTATCTTCTTGTTATTTGGGCTTAAAAAGGCACTGTCTTGAATCATCGACATTGAAATTTTCCCACTGTCGTATCAAAGTCACAAAGATCATCACAAAAAATTAATATTATCGTTTCAGATTAAGTTAGACTAAGTTAAACCTACTTTCAGGAAGTTATATGCATCATTTTCAAGAGATCAATGATACGCACCATTAAATTAAGGACGATTATAATAAATTTATAACATTTATGTAATTTAATATAGAAATTAGCCACTTGTCCATCGAGCATATAGACTAAATTAACCTATGCAAAGGTATATCTTTGAATTCTATACGTATATTTTAAAAACTCGAAAATACATAATTTCTTTTGAAATATACAATCTGAATTTCGACCCCTTTTATACCAAGGTACAGATTTATAAGTGCTTAGAAATGGCAAAGTGGATAAGATTGTTGAACACTGTTAGTTAGATCCGAATTCGAAGTCTAGAGAACGAATTGTTTATATTGGATAGTTTTTACATGTAACATGAATACGAGCCAATTTCCCTTAGAGCGTCCTCTACAAAGTATTCCTCCCCATGTACCTATGCTGTATTGAAATAATCTAAACTAATTAATTTAGGAAGGACGTTCACGAATTATTGAATTATGTTAACGTCGCAAAACAATTTAAAACTTTCTTTTGCCACTTACGGACTTATATATATATATAAATAAAATGTTCAATTATGACAATAATCTTAACGTAATAGTAAGGAATATAAATACTGGATAGGTTTAGCAAATCTCGAGTAGCTCCTGTCCCACGAGTTACTGCCCACTTTCATTTGTCATCCTCACTCTTCTCCTTAACTGCGTCTATAATATTTGCAATTACTTCTAAAACATTTTTCAAGGTAGAACGTTCACTTGCTCGTAAATGATGTTATTAAGATTTACAAGACTTTTTAATCGCAATTTAAATTACAACCATACTGATTTTAGAGCAAATTTGCTTATATTTTTTAATACATGTATTAATTGCCTTCTTTTTTTTTTGATGCAGGGGCGCTGCACAGCGGCGGAATGATGTATGACTCTAATATGTACAGCAGTCCCCTCTCCCTTCTACAACTTCCAGCCTCCGCTCTACCGGAGGTAACAGGACGCTTGGCACAAGCCGGAAACTCGGTGGCACGCTTCTCTCAAGACGGCAAGTCTCTTTCCGATCTGAGAGCGCTGGTCCCAGAAGCCGACTTCAGGCAGGCAGCAGAAGTGACGGTGGATGTAGGATTCGTCTGCAAGAAATGTCATATGGTCTATCCTGCTGAGGTCCTTTGTCTTAATCACCAGCGGTCATCCTGCTTCCAATCCAAACCGGTATCTGAGATCAAAGCTACGTTGAAGTTGGTTCAGTGTCATGTGGAATGCAGAGCTTGTCGCGAACGATTCACGACCATCGTCGACTTCAAGTTTCATTGCGACATGGACCGCCATATTAAACGTGTTCAGAAGATCCAGCGAGAGGCCACCGCGGCAGCTGTAGCGACCTCAGCCGTTGCAAACCACTTTGATACCTTGGCAAACCGGATGGCCCAAACGCCCACCACGAACCCACTCCTAAACAGCAATACATTCACGAACGAAGGCAACGCTTCAGCTGCTGGATTGCTGGGTAGGAATGGTCTGGTACCAGATATGGCTCAGATGTTTTTTTCGGGCATGGGCATGGATGCGATTAGGTTAGGAATGGGGCTAGATCCAGAAGGTGGTGACGCGAAAAACAAAACGTCGGCAGTGGGCTGTGGAGTCGATGCTGGAGTCTCCATTTCTTAGGCTAAGAACAAGCCGAAAGGCTCTAAAAATCGAATTACACAGAAATCAGTGGTCTTTCATAGTGATGCTTAGTTACCTGAACATTCCACGCGAAGATCTGTTTTTTTATAGGTATGACATCACAAAATGTTCGACAAACGAGTCAGATAAATTGCGTTTTTATTCAGTGGCAATAACAAATGTAATAAAGTCAAAGATGTGCCACTTTTATAAGTGCATGGAAAACATCAGGTATCTATAGAAAGGTGCTTGATTTATTAAGAGTAGGTTTAAAATATGACTAATTATATTTTTCAACTTATTAAAACATTGTTCACTCTTAATACAATTTCTTCTGTGGGCGGAATTCATTGTATGTGTATAAAGAAAAACTGACAAAGCTTACCACAGACAACTTTTATGCCTTTATGCCATTGCGCTATCTTTAAATATCATTTAACATCTAGAAAATAAAAGAAAATAGCTATGTCTTTTAAAAGTAAAAATAATTTGGTGAAACAATGTCCAGTTCTGAAATTGCCTTTTCTAAAGGTAAGCACTATTTGGTAACCCACATGGAGACACTCTGAGAAATATATTATCCACATATATTCCTCACAGTTCAGAAAATTTTTCCGTGTCTTTTAAAAGTGGCATGTCAAGAGGTCAGGAAAGAGAAAGAACAACATTCTATCCAGTTTAGAGCATGATGGACGCCTTGTTCTTGGTCTCCATGTTCGTCTGGATCAGTTGCGACAGTTCGGCAACCGCACACAAATGCTCATTGTCATAATACGTATGTAGTAATCAAAGAGATACCATAATAAAAAATACGACTTTTTGTAGCATAGGTTTTAACTAACGAGTCGCTATTTTATGTACTTCCGCTTGTCGAGGTTATAATGAATTAATAAAAAAAATATATATCATCTGTGCCCATCCGAGTGATAACGAAGTTGATCAGATGCAACAAATAGCTGAGTGGAAGGTGAAACAGGGTTCTTCTATAGCCCAAGTACAATCATTTCATTAGGGGAACTGAAAAATATGACTTAATACTCGCAATGAGTTCTCAAAATAAAACATGTTCAAACATGTAAGGCCAACGTTTTTGTACATAGCTGTGCCTGGTATTATGTATAACAGGATAAAGCTGCCACATCCTGAGCCAAGCTCTGTTTCAAACACATGTAAAGGGGTGTGTGCATGCTTAAGCCTAACAACGCGGCCTTTTTTTCGTTTGGAAGTTGTTATCAATGCTATCAAACTTATATATATATATAAAAAAAACTAATGTTCCTAAGCAGTTTTATTACAGCTTCTGTCAAAGTTCCTGAAATTTTTTCTACATCGAAAAAATTAAAAAAAAAAAAAGTCGGTATGGACGAAAATGTTTTTTAAATCGATTGTCCATGTTGTGAATGTATAAATATCAGTTGAAATTTTTAAAAATAATATTCCGATACCTTTGTACGTAAGGTTAAAGAAAGCTATTCAGGCAACGCTAATTGGCAATTAATCAACTTGACTCTAATGTAGTTTATATTAGAGTCATATTTTTCAAAATGCGAAAATAAACTTGTTGAGAATAAAAGGAATAAATGTGATAAATTCTTTATATTCCTGCATAAGTATTTTAAAATCTAAATTTCATTAATAAAACTTAAAAATTTTCCCTCTCGCAAAGAAACAGAAATTTATGAGTAAAATATAGCTGTCGTACAAGTAAGCAAGGAGACATTTCACCAGCTTCTACTCCACTGCCAAGAGGTGAACGTTTTCGGTTTTTTTTGATAAAAATTTCAAAGGTTTTAGGGGTGTCAAAAAATTTAAGATTTAGTTAATTATTATATTATTAGTTAGTTATTCTATTATTAGTTATTATTAGGCTTACAAGGATCTATACAATTGCAGCCTCTGTGAATTTATTTTAAGTAATGTATAGACGTTAGTTGAAATATATTAATAGTTATATCGCAAGCCAAATCTTTCAGATTGCATATTTCGTATGCAGCTGTAAGGAAAAGGGATACGCAGTTTTGTTGGTGAAACTCAAATTGCAATTATTAATAAGTGAAATAAGTAATGGCACTTATTATTGATTTTAATTAATTAATTAATAATTAATTAAGTTTTTACAGACGTGCGAACAGACGGATGCTGCAGTTTGTTATCTTGTGTATCAAGTCTAGAGGGAAAATAATTTGGGAAATAAAAATTGAATCCAATCCAGACAGTTAAGCGTTGTCTGTAACACTTGTTCAGAATTGAAAAATAAATTCCATATTTCGACATTCAGAGGGAATCCTACCTCTGCATGTTTAACTTCTCTTCACTTTGGAAAAGAGTGAGGAGAAGCCTTACAGTTCCTATGCTCGATGAGGAATACTTGATCCTCTCGAGCACATTTTGACGCCATCACAAACACAACTCACACATGCCATACACAATGCACATTAACATTTTTTCATTCGCGTTTGTTTTATATTTTTGAATTTTGTAGCGTTTAGGAAGCTTGCATATATCAGTTAAAATATAAACAATAACAAAATGCACTCTTTGTTGTTCATAAACCAGCGTTTTTTTAAATAATTTTTTGACGTGAACGCGAATAATAAAAAACTAAAATTAAAAAACGAGTATTTTTTTCAGCATATTTTAAAGCAACGTTTTGGTTAGTTATGAAGGCGAAGCATTTAAAAATATTTCTTTAAACCTAAAAATGTAAAATGTAATATCAGAAAACATTCATTGATTTTACTACCTTAAAATTGGCGCAAAGATTTTTTTATTTTTTTTGGAAGAGGCGTCAGAATTTGACATAAAGTATTACGAAATAATATTAGAAAATCTAATTAATTAACGTGGTTAAACTTAAAATTTGATGATCTCAAAACCTTTTTAAAATTATGAATAATAGTATATGTCCATGTGAATAAACTCACTTATCCAGGAAATTATATTTACAGTACATATTCATTTGTAATGGTTTGCTTTAAACTATAAATTTAAGTTTTTACTTTTATGTTTTTACTTTTAATGCTATTTAATAAATTTATGTTTTTACTTTTAATGCTATTTAGAAAGATATACAAATTTATCTTTCCTTCTCTTGTTTTATACGAAATCTAAAAACCTAATTATTGCATTGCATTATAAACTAATTTTTGGTTAATAAACTGCGCCAAAATATTAATTTTAAATTTAAATGTTACTAGAAGAATAAATTCTACAATTGTTATGTAATTTCTTATTTTTTCGAAATAATTTAATGCTTAATGTTGCACGCTTGAAATACCATATATACAGTCAATGATGTTAATATAATTTTTGCTGTGTACCAGAATAATATCATAAAGCTTGACATTAAAGCTTGCAACGTAGGAAAGGGACTAATCTTAAAAATCATTTAAAATTTGGGAAAATTAATATAAAATGTATGCGTTTCAGTACATTCAGTATCAGATCTAGTTAAATTGTATTTAATTTAGAAATGCAGGAAAGTACATTCCAGTCAGCATTAAAATATATCCTATAAATTATGATTGATTTTGAGATTTAACTAACTACTTAAGTTAACTACTACTATTTTAGCTAACGACTACAATTTAATAAAAGACTAATTTATTTGAAAAAATATATTAAACTATCGAAAAGAGGTTAAAAATATTAAATTTATTTTTTATATCTGTAACTTAACATTTTAATTTTCAGAAATTTATTAAATTTAATTAAAAACATATTCGTTTTAAAAAGTAGTTTTAAAAATAAAAATGATTAAAAAAGGAATTAAACTTATATCTGTCGCAGCTTAGATGGTTAATATTTGAAACTGCAAAAATAAATATATGTTTTCAAAATATGTGAGTTATTCTAAAATAAATTGCCTATTAGCAACATAAATAAGAATTTATACTTTGCTAATAGCCTATGTAAAAGTATTAAAAATGATCAAAATTAAATAAAATATCAAGACATATATTTAAAATTTGAATTAATGATCAATAATGCCCTAGCTTGTTTAGAATGAAACACCAATTTTTAAAAGTTATTAGCAAAACATTCCGACGTTTCATTGAAAATTCTAAAAACAGCTAAAAAGTGTATGGAACAAGAAGAAGAAAAACGAAATTCTTTTTCTCCAAAGTTATAAAACACTTAACACTTAACAGCTATGAAGCTCCTTCATAGCTGTTAAGTTATAAAACACTTAACAGCTATGAAGGAGATACTGTTAAGTTATAAACAGCTCCTTCATAGCTGTTAAGTTATAAAACACTTAACAGTTATAAAGGAGATATTAGATGTTTATAATAACATTTGTTGAAAGTAAGATGATCTTTAGCAATCGTGCGTTTGCAATCGTCTGATATCTTTTTCTCGGCAGGCCATGCGATAAAAGTTTGGGTTAAAATCTTTAGAATTCTGAATGTAACGTAGTATATATTTTGCTTACTAGGTTTAGTTTATTCTTTTTTTCTCGGATTACCTGATTAATTATACTTGGTTTATAATTCAACCTAATACAAGTTTATGAATTTAAAATATTTCTATCTATCTTAGAAATTAACATCAGAATAATTAGTAAGCGTCAAATAATTTAGAAAAGTAATTAATAAGTTATACTGACATTGTTAAAGAAAATATTATCAATAAATAAAAAGTATATAGAAGAAATAATTACAAAAATGAAATTAATTTTTCTTCGAATTTCCGTAAAGTTCGGACAACAATATTAATTTAACTTCAAACAGACAGAATTTATGCAGTTATTGAAAATATATTAAATGCATTTTATAATGTATTTTATTTAAAAAATTCAATTATTTGATGAAATGCAATAATTAGTTTCATTTATTTTTCACTTAAAATAATTTACACGAAACTGAAATTTTCTAAAATAGGGAAAGCAATATTTCGTATTTTATTTTCGATGAAATTTGTAAAAAGTAATAAAGAAAGGAAATTCGTAGAAGTAACAAAAAACAACAATAATCAAATTTTTCTTTATCATACGTTGTATTCAAATTGTAATATTGTTATTAATTTTAAAATGAAGAAATTTATTAATTGAATTGAAAATTTAATTAAAACGCATTTGCTTAAAAATATTTTAAAATACCGAAAGAAATGTTAAAAGAGAACGAAATTATTTTACTGCAACTTATTTTAATTTTCAGAATTGATTAAAAATTTTCTTTAAAGATTTGTAAAAAAAATATTTAAATATCGGAACAGGTTAAAAAATTATTTTTAATAGGGCTAGGCTTAGCATTTTAGTTCAAAAGCTTATCAAAATTTATTAAAAAACACTTCATTTAAAAAAGGTTTAAAATTTGAAAGAAAATGATTTAAATAAGAAACTTACAAATAAGAAATTTTTTTTTTCTTCCGCTAGGTATTTTGATATTTAGCATTTTAAATTTAAATGCTTAATTTACATCTTTTTTTTTTTTTTTTTTTTTTCAGTTTTTTTCAAACACACTCATAAGAAACTGTACAGTAACTTTACATTTCCGTAACACCACATTCTTGTTTTCCATCATACACACAAACAAACCTCATTGACTCGCTCTCCGATATTGTCTGGTTATCTGTGGTTTAACTATAGCAGGCAAACGGAAGATAGAGAGTGGGCCTTATAAATAATATATATCACCTACATAGCATATTGAATGTCTTCTATGTTACCTTCAAGTGTGTGTGTGTGTGTGCGTGTGCGTATCATCAAAGCGGGCAAGCCTGAGTCCGCATTACCTTGCGCTGCGAGGGGACAGGCATAATCCTATACTATGTTCACTATGTACTTCAAACGACGTTGAGTATATATACATATAAATAAATATATATCCAGTGTCAACATGTTTCTTCTCTCCCAATCCTTTCCCAGTGTAAAATTTAGTACTACTATGAGAATTTTTTAATGAAAATAAGGGCGACTGTTTGATACTGAAGACACATTCTAAAATAATTATAATAATAATTCACTTTCCAAAAGGAACAACCATTGTGGCGTTATATCATTTATGTGAGAATTAATTAATTCATATTATTACTAGGATTACTATTGTGTGGCTTTGCCATTTGCACCTAGGAAGAAAGTTTTTGTTCGTTGAATCATTATCGGACATGAAGATCATGATGGTTTTTGTTTAATCCAAGATGTGTGAATTGTGAGTTAATAGTGCTGCCACATCTGGAAGAGAAATATGACTTGTTATTGGTTATTACTATTTATCATCCCACAAGGTCGTGCAATACATGTTAGTAATCGACGTTTATGTTTGATAGAAATGTGACATTGTTGGCAGTAAAATTCATTACACCTGTTTTTTCCTTAATTGCGCTTGCATTTTTCAGAATTAAATATTATCAAAATGAATAAAATAGAATTTAATTTTAATGGATTTTGAAACTTAATTTTTGTCTGAATTATCATGAACATTTTTTGCATATTTCTTTGTTGAACAAAGTGATTTTTATAAGCTGGTTATAGGCAAGTTAGGAAATTAAAGCAAAAAGCATCCCCCCTCTTCTTAAGTTAATGATAAAAATTAAGAATGGGACATTTGAACCCTAGAATATTTCGAATCCTGAAAAAGATTTAAGATCCGAAAATTCTAATCACCTCGAATTTTTCGTTTTGAGGCTTAACCTCGTAAAACATTAAACATTTTAACTCAAAACGTTTGAAAATTAATTTTATTAACTCCAAGCAGACGTATTCATTCTAAAAAGAACACGAATGTTGCAGTTTCAGGTGATATAAACTGCCATGCTATTTCTTAGCGGACCTGAATACGACATTCTTTGTTTTCAGGAAAGAATTTATTTTTAAAATTTGTTAGTCCTTGAAACAATCTTCTAACATTTGTTTAGATTTTAAATGATTCTTTAAAAGTGTAAAAGAACTCAGCTATCATTCAAATATTTTTGTCGAACAGTACTAAGAAAATAACCCATAAAATTAATTATATACTTCTCTTTACTAAATTTCATTCTGCTTTTTCTTAAAAAATCTCATGTAAATAATTCGAGAGATTCGAGATTTGAAAGATTCGAGAACATTTTAGGGTTCGTATTACAGAATATTAAGATTTTCCCATCTCTAACAAAACTCTCACATTTGTGTTCCATAAACAAATCTTTTAATTTAATACTAATGACGGTTACTAATTAATTATACTAATTTAGTGCAAGAACCGAGCAGTTGCAATGTTCAAAAACTAAATATTTGAAAGATATATATTTTCTAACTTTTAGTTTTAAAAATGAATATGTTTTCTTTGTTCTTTTGTTGATTTTTAATTTAATGCATTAATCCTTAAATTATGCATAAATTTCTTATATTTCTCAATAAATTAAATTTTTTACTTTGCTGGAATTTACTAATCTCTCTTTTAATGCAGTCAGTTTTATTTTAAGGAAAAAAATGTTGGAATTGTGCAATATAATAATATGATAGGTGCTGATAAACTCATTTGTTATTGTTTTTAATTGATAAGTATTAATATGAAAGTTTTAAAGTATACTTTAATGTGAAAATTTCTCAACAAAGGTTGGTTAACGTATGCTGTTTGCATTAGTTTTTCTTACTTATATGAAAAAAAATTTAATGTATTAAAATTTTGGACAAAAGTTTAATAAATTTAATGTGATTTAAAATTTAAAGTGAGTACAGTTTTTTATTAAATAACTACAAATATTCTTAAAAGTAATGCTTATATATGCTTATTATAATTTCAAAGATCTATTTCAACAGTTTTTAAAATTTGCATTCTGAAATTTTTAAAATTTCTTTCAAAAACTCTTTTGAACTTTTTACGAATTTTCTCCCTAAATTTAGTTATTTTTACTAAACTTTATTTTTTCCTGGATATGTTTTTAAATTTTTCTTTTAAATTTCCTTTATGTTTTATTTTTTCTTGCTCTAATTAATACTCTCATT